AGTAGTGGGTAGTGAGTAGAGAGTTGTGAGTAGAAAGTTGTGAGTCGTGAGTAGTGAGTAGTGAGTAGCGACTTGCGACTCGTGACTACTGAGTAGGGAGTAGGGAGAAGTGAGTAGCGAGTAGTGCGTAGTGGATAGTGAATATTCCGTACTGCGTACCGAGTAGCGGATAGTGAGTAGTGACTTGTGGGCAGTGCGTAGTGCGTAGTGACTTGTCAGTACTCACTAGTAAGTAGTGGATAGTGGGTAGTGAGTAGTGCTTATTGAGTAGCGAGTAGTGGGCAGTGAGTAGTGTTTAGTGAGTATTGAGTATTGGGTAGTGAGTAGTGCGTAGTGCGTTGGGTGTAGTGAGCAGGGAGTAGGAAGTAGTGAGTAGTGAGTAGTGGGGGCGTAGTGAGTAGTGAGTAGTGGGTAGTAAATAGTGCGTACCGGGTAGCGAGTAGGACGTAGTGCTTAATGAGTATTGAGTGGTGAGTATTGTGTAGGAAGTATGGAAAAGCGAGTAGCGAGTAGTGGATAGTGTGTAGTGAGTTTTTTGGGCAGTGAGTAGTGAGTAGTGAAGTGTGAGTAGTGAGTAGTGGATAGTGGTTAGTAGGTAATGAGTAGTGATTTGTGGTTCGTGAGTAGTGGGTTGCGATTTGTGTTATTAGTGAGTAGTGGGTATTGAATAGTTGGTAGTGAGTATTTTGTAATGAGTAGGGAGTAGGGAGTAGTGAGTACTGGGTAGTGGGTAGTGAGTCGTGGGTAGCGAGTAGTGAGTCGTGAATAGTAGTGAGTAGTAAGAAGTGAGTAGTGAGTAGGAGTACTGAATTGTAGGTAGTGAGTTGTGCGTAATGAGTAGTGAGTGCTGTTTGGGGCTAGGGTTTGGGTTTGGGGTTAAGGTTGGGGGTTAGGGTAAGGGTGACGATTAGTGTTAGGGGTGGTCGGGGTCGGGTTCCAGAGACCGGGGGCGCAGTGGCGAAAAGGGGGAGGGGGTGGAATTTGGCGGCCAAAGGGGGGGAGGGGGGGCGGTTCGGACTCCCCCTCTTTTTAAAAAGGGGGGATGGGCGGGGGGGTCCCCGACGACCACTACTACCATAGGTAGGAGATGGAAGAGGAGGAGGAGGAGGAGGAGGAGGAGGAGGAGGAGGAGGAGGAGGAGAGGAGGAGGGAGGAGGACCTCCTCATCCTGCCTTCTCCCCCGTCCTGCATTGCTGGTGGGGAATTCGCCCATCACGCATGCCCTTGTGGTGTTGGCGCGTCGGCCCCGCAGGGGCCAGGCGCGATCGCCGGAGTCTTGCAGTATACAAGCTCCGTGTCGGTCGCTTCCTGGCCGTACAACTTCTTCGCATCGCTCGGACGTGTGCTGCTGTTCTCGGCGGGGGAGACGATTTTTCTTCGCATTTTTCTAATATTTTAGCGTATTTTTAGAGTATGTTTTATCCTTCGTCCAAAATCGCCCTGTAGGAGGACAGGCCCGATTTAAGGCTATGCTATATACGATCAGAAACTTCGGCTTCGCGTGTGGCGCCGCCAGTTCTGGCCCACTGCGCTTCGGCGCGGCATGCTGTCCGCGTCCCCAGTCCCAGGCGTCAGCGTCCCGAGCCGTTCCCCGCCTTCCGTCAGGCGATCGCAAGCATGGATCAAGGGGGCGTGGATTAGCGCCAGGTCCCGTTTCCATGGGAAATCGCGGACTTCCGCCGCCGAAAGAGGCGGCACGACTGCGCGCCAAATCCATGGATCGCTAATCCATGTTTGCGCGCCCCCGATTCCACCCCGCGGAACGAAGCGACACGCTATCCGCTTGCAGGGCATAGTAGCTTGTCGCCGAGGCCGCCGCTGCGACACGCTAAAGCAAAAATTCCCGACCGTAGCACTTCTGTGCTACAAATTCGGGTTGGATGTGCGTCTCCGGCAGAAGGACATACTATCTTCGTCACAATTAACCTCAAAAGCGCATTACGTGCAAAGTATTTGTTGGCGACTCCCTTTCCAACGTCGGGCATCGTGGAACTTCCGAGTCGCGAGCGGAAGCGACATGTAAGGGGCGCGTCAACAACTTTCGAGGCCAAGTTTGTCGCCGGCTGTAGCTCCAGTATGCCCTTCTGCACCCTCTGCCTCCGGATCCGCCGTACTTTGGCTGATTTCCCGATTGGTTCTTGTATCGGAAATGCACCCCAAACGATGCGAAAAAGTCTGGAGGACATTGCTGCCTCAGAAAAGTGGGGCGGCTATGGCCGCAAAGCACGGCGGAAACAGCGACAGCAAAGTGACGCGGAAAGATCGGCATCAACGGCGCCTGAACAGTAGGACGGATGATTCCGCCGAGATCGCCCAAGTCAGGGCCTCCTGAGCACATCCCCCGCTAGCGTTGCCGTTTGGTTTTCGGGTCATAGTTCGGCTCTCCGGCGGCCGTTCGGGACGATCCGACCACCCCCGGACGCCCCTCGGCGAGGCGAAGCCGCTGGAGCACGTCCCGAGGCTGGGAAGCCGTCGAGAGCCCCGACCCTCGAATTGACCGAGCTGGCCTCTGGTGCGCGCGCGGCGCCGCCCAAGCAGGCGCCGCGGGAGAGGGCGGCCCCTGGCCGCTCGGGGAAGCGGCGGAGCTCGGCGCGCCCGCGTGGCGGGCGCACCCGGGGGCGGGCCCGCCGCTGGGCCCCGGCTTCTGGCACGACTATCGGAGGCGCCTGCGGCGACCCACCGCCGCCCCTCGCCGGGCCCCCCGCCACCACCACAGGGCCAAGCATGCAGAAGGGCGCGTGGGCAGAAGAGCGCGCGATTGGCGACCCTGCGTGAACAGCATGATAAGAAACGGCAGAAGGAGCGCCTCGCGACTGTGAAGCAGGAAACAGGAGCGCCCGACTGTGAAGCAGAAGATGGGACGCGCCGGGCCCCCAGGACCGTCGGAAAGCGACTCAGGATGAAATCCGAGGCGGGACTTCAGAATTGCATGACCACCGCCTGGAGGATCAGTTTCAGGGATCTCGGCAAGCGGTGCATCTGGACACATTCGGACCCCCGGGGGCCAAAATATAACCAGATCCACCGCCCGCTGGGGCACCAGGACGTCGGTTCCCAGGCGGTGGATGTGGATAAATCCCCGCCTCGCATGCAAGGCCGGTCCTGGGGAAGGGGTCGAGGCCTCCGGGCGTCCACGCAGTGAAACAGGCATGACGTCGAGGGTCTGGGGCGAGGGCCCCAGGAGCCCAGGCCTCCCACACTGGGTCCGAGGAGGATCGCGCCGCATCGTCGATGCATCGGCGATGCAGCTCGATGTGGGGCCCGATGTTCTCCACGCCGACGTCGCCGATGCATCGCCGACGTGACCGACGCATTGTTGATGCATGCGGCGCAATCGGCCTCTTTTACTCGGACCCTATTTGGGAGGCTTCTACTGTTGGAAGCGCCTATGTGGCCGTCTTAGCTGTCTTGAAGGCTCTACTGGGGCCGTCCTGCGCTGGAAGACCGATGGAATATGCAACGTGGGCGATTTTATAATGTCGTGCCAGCGGGATCGACCTAGACCTCACTGCGGCAAGCCGCAGGGGGCGGTGGATCTAGTTGCCTTCGGCCTATCCCTCCACCGTGCCTTGGCCCCATCGTTCGGCGACTCGAGGCCCTCCCCTGAGATCCGGGCGTTGCATTCTTGTTTCACACCGCGGGCGTTTTCGATCGGTCTCGAGCCCCAGGACCATCACAGATCGATCCGGCTAGACAAATACTCCAGGAATATGGGGACCAGGGCTTTCGGCGTGAACGTTTGCGATGTTTACGATGTTGGGGTGTTGGACCGTCTGAACGGCCTCTTGTAGCCCTCTTGGCGCCAAGGCTCGGGAGGCACGCCGGGAGGCCCGGGAGCTTCAGCAATTTGGGGTCCGGGCTCCTTAATTTTTTGATTCACGAGGATTGAGGACTGCCAGGAAGCCGGATACGTACACAAGGTGTGGCCAGCCAGTGTAGGCTGGGCTTCCGCATGTGTCTCCGGCACGTGGCCCCACATGTCCCACATTCTTTTGTCATCCCGCCGACCCCCAGGAGTCTCGACCCAGTCCCCCAGGACCAGTGTTTTATCCGGGGTATAGTTTTCGGACGGCCCCTGAGTCCGGCGAGAGCCCCCAGGCCGGAAATAGCGAAAGGTTATTGGGAGCTTTGAGACGGGGGTCAATGCAAACGGGGGTCAGCCAGAGCGCCGGATCTTGCAGGATCCTGCAGGGACAGGGTCGCATTGACCCCGGTTTGGTTGCAGGATCCCGCAGGATCTTGCAGGATCCTTCGCATTCACCCGGGTTTGGATGCAGGATATTGCAGGATCTGCAGGGGCTTTGCAAGGCCTGAATGACCAGGGTTTGGATTGACCCGGGTCAGAAGATCCCCGAGGTTAAACTTCCCGTCGTGATTCTGTCATGGCTCGAGGGGGCTTCTGGGCCCTCCCTACGGACTACCTGCTCCCTGGTAAAGTTCACCTGCTGGGCATTCTTCCCAAGGGCACCCTTGCATCCTTGCCCCTTCGGCCCATCCTCAGCGACTTTCGTTGGCCAGCCTCGTTCGAGAAACATTCACATGGGCCTCCAAGGCCCTCTGCATTCTTACCGCGCATCCCTGTACTACGTGCTGACTGTACAGGCTACAGTCAAGTCGGGCGTGTCCCTCTACAGGAGGAGTGTCCAAAAATAGTTCACAGAAATGCTCTGGGGACGACGTTTCGATTCTTCTTTTTACCATGATTGAGCACCCGACCTGTAGGTGATGGGCTTGTTTTCAACCACCACCACCACCATAAATTGGAGTAGGAGGGGGTCCTCCTCCTCCTCCTCCTCCTCCTCCTCCTCCTCATCCTCCTCCTCCTCCTCGTCCTCCTCCTCCTCCTCCTCCTTCCCCCCATCCAACTTATGGTGGTGGTGGTGGTGGAAAACAGGCCCATCAGCAGGGGGACGTGCCCGACCCAAGGCTGCCGAGGGCGCCCGAGGACACCCCGAGGCCCGCGCCTCGGTGGCGCGGCGGCGGGCCTCCGCTCCTCGGAGCCGCTCCTGGAGCTGCCGCTGGACCGGGGCCACGCCGAGGCCCGGCGGCGCGCAGCTCCTCCGCTGGGGAAGGGCGGGCGGGCCTCGTCCTCCTCCTCCTCCTCCTCCTCCGCCTCTCCTCAGCTCTCCTCCTCCTCCTCTTCTCCTTCCTCCTCCTCCTCCTCCTCCCTCCTCCTCCCCAGCCTCCGTCCTCCTCCTCCTCCTCCTCCTCCTCCTCTCCTCCTCCTCCTCCTCCTCCTCCTCCTCCTCCTCCTCCTCAGCCTCCTCCTCCTCCTCCTCATCCTCCTCCTCCTCCTCCGTCTCCTCCTCCTCAGCCTCTCCTCCTCCTCCTCCTCCGCCTCCTCCTCCCTCCTCCCCCTCCTCCTCCTCCTCCTCCTCCTCCTCCTCCTCCGCCTCCTTCTCTTCCTCCTCATCCTCCTTCTCCGTGGCGGAAGGGTGGGCCTCCTCGATGGGGTCGGAGGATCTCGCCGCATCGCCGATGCATCGCCGATGCGGCTCGATGTGGAGCCCGATTGCTTCACGTCGACGTCGCCGATTCATCGCCCACGTCGACGATGCATCGCCTGTGCATCGCCGATGCATCGCCGATGTATCGGCAATGCGGCGCAGGAGGCATCCAGGAGGGGCGGGCGGGGGGCGCGCGAGAGCCCGGGCCCCCTCAAGTCGCCAAAGAAAATCGTGACGGGAGGTCTCTCGCTCTTCTTTTCGGCCTCTGGGGGGGCCCCTTGACGGGCCTCGGGAGAGGAGGGTCAAGGAACGGCTCGGGATGCAGAAACGTTCCCAGGGAATGGGTCCTACAGTGGAGGCCCATGCCAAGAGACACTTTGCTTTCCTCCAGGGTGCCCTGGGTTTGCTGGGTTTCGATGGTTTTGCCATGGAAAGCATGACGTTCCCACACCAAAAATCAATGGACGCCCTGGGGTCTGAGGGTTGGGCTTCTTGTGGAAGGTTTCTTGTTGACTGGCCTCCACTGTAGACATGTGGGGGTCGACGTCTGAAACAAGTCATGACGTAGGGGTCTTGGGTCGGGTGGGCCCAGGATCGGGATCAGTCGCTGCAGAGCCTCCCAGAGCGCTCTCAGAACGTTCTAGAGCGCGCTCTGGACCTGCCGCGATGCCCGATGCGTCCTTGAGGACTGCCAGGTCTCAGCGGTCCCGGATGTGTCCCGGTCCGATGCTGTGCGGGTCCTGGTTTCGTCCTAGGGGGGGCGCCTTTTCAGAAGGTGGGGACGGGGGGGGGGGCTTCTCAGAACGGCGGGGCCTTCTCAGAAGCGCCCCGAGGCTCCGCAAGAAGCGCCCCGCTCGAGGCCAGGAGGGCTTCTATATGGGGAGGCCACCGCCCTCCGGGAAGCCCCCCCGCCTGCTCAGGAGGCCGCCCACCTGGCGCCACCCCCTTCCCCGAGATCCGGCGCCGCGGAACAGGTACAAGACCCTGACATCCTGGATCCGCCGTGTGCTTTGGTGGATTGTTCGATTTGCATCGAGTTGTGTCGTAGTGATGGCATTCCATATCTGCAATGTCTTGTGGTCCGCACCCGATCCAGGCGCCCTCCACAGTGAGGAAGCTCTCGGGTGTCACCATTACAATATACGGAAAGCCGCCATGGCCCTTGTTGAGCACTCTAGAGCGCCCTTCTAGGCCTGTTGCGGGAGCTTCGTGGACCCCTCTTGGGTACGAGTGACATCGAGTTGTGTCGGACATTCATCCCAAACGATGCCAAAAAAGAAGTGCGAGCAGTTCCGTCTCAGGAGCGTAGGGCAGATTTGTTTCGCAACGGCATGGCGGAAACAGCGACGGAAGAGTAGGGCGGCTGTCGACATCAGAAGAGCTTGAAAAGTAGAGCGGAAATTTTCGCCCTACCTCTGGAATCGCCCAAAGCACCGCGGATCCGGAGCCAGGGCAGATCGTAGGAAAGTTCTGCCAGAGCCCCAGAGCCCATCTTTCTGCGCCATTTTTCGAGGCAGATCCATCCGTGACGGTCCTGGGGCCCGAGACCGGGTTGCCCTGTGTGGAAAAATGGCAGCGCCCAGATCGCATCGGGGGTCGCCATAATCAGGGGCAGCGACGATAGGGGGTCAGGCATAGCCAATGATCGCCGATAGGTGTCCGATAGACCCAATCGGCGACGTATCGTCGATTCCAAGTCGATGTTTCCCCCCCCATTCCCTCTCCCCCTCTATCGTTGCCCCTCACATAAGGGTTCGTGGAACAAGGCTGACTGCTCTGGACCCTGTAGCCCGACCTCAGGCCCGACATGGTCGGCCGGGAGCGACCGTCGCAGTTCTGGTTTCCCCTCGGTCGGGGTCACGGGCCGCGGCCCGCGGGCCGGAGGGGACCAGCATAATCGAGCTCGGGGCTCAAAAGACGGGGGTCAGCCAGAGCGCCCGATTGTGCAGGATCCTGCAGGGCCAGGGTCGCATTGACCCGGGTTTGGGTGCCGGATCCTGCAGGATTTTGCAGGATCCTTCGCGTTGACCCGGGCTTGGGTGCAGGATCCTGCAAGGCCTGACTGACCTGGGTCTGGATTGACCCGGGTCAGGAGATCCCCGACGGGCGACGAAGTCTATGCATATCCATTGCTCCCTGGCCAGGCCCATCCTGAGCCCAGAGAGGGCGTGGCGTATGCACCGCGGCTGGGTTCACGATGGGCCTGGCCAGATTGCAATGGATCTGTATAGATTTCGTCGCCCTACGCTCTCGAGGCGGACTCGCCGAGTTGCTTTGACTCTGGCTTCCGAGGAGGCCCAGCTCGCGAGGCCGTGCAGCAAACGTCTTGTGAGCCAGGCCTCGCCGTCCCCGACGCGCAGAGTCTCAGACGAGGCCGCCCCCCCGTGATGATGATGATGATGATGATGAGGAGGAGGAGGAGGAGGAGGAGGAGGAGGAGGAGGAGGAGGAGGAGGAGGAGGAGCATGAGGAGGAGGAGGAGGAGGAGGAGGAGGAGGAGGAGGAGGAGGAGGAGGAGGAGGAGGAGGAGGAGGAGGAGGAGGAGGAGGCGGAGGAGGAGGAGGAGGAAGAGGAGAACCTGAGTACACCCAAGAGTCAGCAACGATGTTGGAACAAACCCTTCCTCCAAGCTCCCTCTTCACAGGCCCCATACAACGGTTAATTTCCATAGAGGGGACTGACTGCCTCGTTGGAAGACAACCGTGTGAAGATCCTGACGCATGCCAAAGCATTGTTCTCGGGATTCCAACGCCACGGGTCAACCTGATTGTTGCGTCTTGACGATCCGAAATCGTGCCAGAACGCCATTCCTGGGACTTCAGCGCCCCAAATCAACGTAACTGTTGCGCCCTCATAATCCTGAATCCTTCCAAAACACCATTTCCGGTACGTTGACCATGGGAGTCCGTGATTTTCTGGCAAATGTTTAAGACGAGTGTGCGCGACGCTAGGCGAGAGCCACATTTTGAAAAGGAGCCGCCCTCAATCCGTGAAGTTCTTGCAATGGTTTAAGACGAGTGTGCGCGGCGCTAATGCGAGAGCCACATTTCGAAACTGAGCCGCCCTCAATCCGTGAATCTCGGAGGGGAGGAGGAGCGCACCCACTAGCGCGGCGGGCCGTCTGTCTCGGCGCGCCGCCCGAGCGCCCGACAACGAGGCCGAGCGCGCGGGAATCCCGCAGGCACCCGCGGCCGTCGGCGACGAGGGCACCCCCCCCGACGGACCAGGGCGAGCTGCCCAGTCGGTGGCCTCCGAGGAGGAAGCCATGACCAGACAACGCACCGCCAGACACGGCGACGGCGACCCCCAAGGGCCCCGCCACCCGCCGCGGCAGGGCGGGCGAGGGCCCAGGCGGGCCCCACCCACCCGCACTAGGGGAACCAAGGACGGTTCCCGAAGTGCCCCGAGGGCCCGAAAGACCGCAGTTTTCCGAGCCGCTCCAGCACACGGCACGGCCCGCACCTAGTCGGCCAGCTCCGCGCCGCGAGCTACCGTGCCCACGATCGAGGACATGTCGAAGACGAGGACGAGGGGGCCCCGGACGCCGCCGCAGCCGCCGCCCCGGCCTCGAACGGCTCCCTCATGAGGCACCGCCGCGGGCTCCGCCAGCGAGGGCACGGTCCCGCTGGGCGCGAACGGCCGCGGCGAGGGCGGCGGCGAGCTCTGGCGAAAGCCCGTGCGCGAGGGCGATCGCCGCGAAGGGGGCCGCCTCGGAGGGCTCCGCCGCGGCGCCAGCCGCCAGGGAGCCAGCGCCATCGCAGGCCGCCGCCGCGCCAGCATCGCCACGGCCAGGGCGTGCTGGGCGGCCACCGTCGGCCCACTCGTCGTCCAGCTCCTCCTCCACCTGCGTAGTGTCCAGCACCATGAGAGGAAGACCAGCAGCAGCAACATCATGACGTGCAGCGGCAGGTGCGGGGCGAGGGCGGCGGCGCCGCCGCCTCGGCCCGCGGCCGACGCCGGCCGCTTCCGCCGCCATGGGTGCGGCCAGTCTCTCTCCAGGGTGGGCGCTCGCCACTTCGGCCGCCGCGCCAGGCGCGGCGCGGCCCGCGGCAGCCGCCCCGCGGCCCCCTCGCCCACGTCGCCGCCGCCTCGGGGGAGGCGCGGCGTCGGGCGCGGGCGCGGGCGGCGACGTGGCGGAGCCGCGAAGGCTCGCCACCGCCGCGCGGCAAAGTCCCTCGGCGGCACGCAGGAGGCGGGATGCCTCCGCTGTGCGCCGCGAGAGGCCAGCAGCCGCGTGCACCGCCAGCGCCGCCCCGCGGGCGGCCTCCAGCGCGCACTGCAGCTCACGGTGCCCGTGCGCCATCTGCCCCAGGGACCGACGGCGGGCGCGGCGCAAGGCGGCCCAGCGGCGAACGGTTTGGGAACGGCACGATGGCTTGAGCCAAAAGGCTACGGAGAGGGGAGGAGGAGGAGCAGGAGGAGGAGGAGGACGAGGAGGAGGGGGAGGAGGAGGAGGAGGAGGAGGGGGAAGCGAGGAGGAGGAGGAGGAGGAGGAGAGGAGGAGGAGGAGGGAGGAGGAGGAGGAGGAGGAGGAGGAGGAGGAGAGGAGGAGGAGGAGGAGGAGGAGGAGGAGGAGGAGGAGGAGGAGGAGGAGGAGGAGGAGGAGGAGGAGAGGAGGAGGAGGAGGAGAGGAGGAGGAGGGGAGGAGCGAGGGGAGGAGGAGGAGGAGGAGGAGGAGGAGGAGGAGGAGGAGGAGGAGGAGGAGGAGGAGGAGGAGGAGGAGGAGGAGGAGGAGGAGGAGGAGAGGAGGTAGGAGGAGGAGGAGGAGGAGGAGGAGGGAGGAGGAGGAGGAGGAGGAGGAGAGGAGGAGGAGGAGGAGGAGGAGGAGGAGGAGGAGGAGGGAGGCGGAGGAGGAGGAGAGGAGGAGGGAGGCAGGAGGAGGAGGAGGAGGAGGAGGAGGAGGAGGAGGAGGCAGCAAGGAGGGAGGAGGAGAGGAGGAGGAGGAGGAGGAGGAGGAGGAGGAGGAGGAGGAGGAGGGAGGAGGAGGAGGAGGAGGAGGAGGAGGAGGAGGAGCAGCAGCAGCAGGAGGAGGGGAGCAGAAGGAGGAGGAGAGGAGGAGGAGGAGGAGGAGGAGGAGGAGGGATGATGGGACAGCATCAAAGATGCCCTGGCGGCCGTCAGTGAGCTGACGACCGCTAGGGCCCCAGATGTCAAGAGCCCGCGCCGCCCTGGGCACGCCGCGCGGCCGCCGTGACGACGAGGGACAGGCCCCTCCCCCTCCCTCTCCCCTCCCCCCCTTCTCCCCTCCTCCTGCTCCTCCTCCTCCTCCTCCCCTCCTACTGCTCCTCTCCACCTCCTCCTCCTCCCCTCCCCCTCCCCCTCCCCCATCCCCCCCCTCCTCCTCCTCCTCCTCCTCCGACCCTGGCCCATCCCACGGACAAGCCAGGGAGACGGAAGCCACCCCCGCGGGGCCAAAGCGGGCAAACCTTGCGGCCGCCAGCGGCCGCCCATCGCACCCCGAAAGGGGGAGCGGGGACGCACGGGGCGGGCCCGACCGAGGCGGCGGCCCTCCGAACCCACGCCGAGGGGCGACCCGCCCAGGTGTCGAGGCGGATCGAGCAGGACAGAGCGAGGGCCCGCCCCCTACTGGGAAGGCCGCGCGGGCGTCCTGGAAGAACGCTTTGACAGCGGCCATCGGCGTGTCCACGATGCCGCCGAACTCGTCGGCGGAGTCCCTCACGACCACACCGCCGTCCAGCACGGCCGCGACATGCTCGTCCAGCTGCCGCAGCATGTCGTCAACCTCGCTCGCACCCAGGGGCTCCGCGACGTGCGCCGCCTCAGAGTCCCCAGGCCAGCAGGAGCCCTCGCCGTCGACCTCCGCCGCAGACTAGACCGAGTAGTCCATCCCCACGACAGCCTCGACCAAATCCGATTCCCCGCCCAGGAGCGCGACGCACACCGTCGGCAGCTCGGGCGCCGCTGGCACGGTCACCTCCACGCTCGCGTCGCATTCCGTCGGCGGCACGGCCGCCACCAGAACGGACACCTCCCCGATCGCGTCGGAGAAAGCCTCGACGTCGAAACCCTCCACGAAGGTGGCCTCGGACGCCCCGCACTCGTCGTCGACGAACTGCAGGCACTGCAGGCACGGCTGCAGCTCCACGCTAAGCGCCCCGAGCAGCAAAGCAGGCTGCTGCGGGTCCTGCCAGAGGCCTGGCGCCCACGCCACGCCGGCAGGCCCGCCCTGGCGCTCCGCCAGGCTCCAGCCCGCAGCCAGACCATGCCCGAAAGCCTGGGCCCTGCTCTCCGCGACGGGGCCGCACTCCTTCCGCGCAGGCGCGGGGGAGCCCACCGGAGCGGCACCGAGGCGCGGCCCGCGCTGGGCCACACGGAACGCCTGCGCCTCGGCGCCCTCCAGCTGCGCCCCGGCGGCGGCTGCATGGAGGGCGGCGTTGCGCCGCAGCCTCTGGAGCCACGTGGGCGCGCGTCCTTCCACCAGCGCGGCGAGGGCTGGAAGAAGGCAGCGGACGCGGGCGGCCACCTCGCCGTCGCCGACAATGACCAGGAGGGCCTCCTCCGCGTCCTTCTGCTGGCGTATGGCGGCCGCCAGCTGCGACTGCAGCCGCGCGACGAGGCGGTCCGCAGACTCACGGGCACCTGCAGCGCCGCGCAGCACCGCCGCCGAGCCCGATCCCGCAGCCATCATTCCGTGAGCCAAGAGCCCTGCCCCCCCAAAGGCCCTCACGCCCGCCCAGGATGGGGGTACACCGAGGGACAAGGTCCAGGAGCAGGGGGGCCTACGGAATTGGCCTTGAGTCAAAATGGCTACGGAGGTGGCGGAGGAGGAGGAGGAGGAGGAGCAGGAGGAGGAGCAGGAGGCCGGGGAGGAGGAGGAGGAGGAGGAGGAGGAGGAGGGGGACCAGTGTAAACCCAAGAGTCATCAACGATGTTGGAGTAAACCCTCCCTCCAAGCTCCCTCTTCACAGGCCCCTACAGCGGTTCATTTCCACTGCGGGGACTGCCTCGTTGGAAGACAACCGTTTGAAGACCCTGACGCATGCCAAAACATTGTTCTCGGGATTGCAACGCCACGGATCAACCTGATTGTTGCGTCTTGACGATCCGAAATCGTGCCAGAACGCCATTCCTGGGACTTCAGCGCCGCGAATCAACGGAACTGTTGCACCCTCATAATCCTGAATCCTTCCAAAACACCATTTCCCGTACCTAGACCATGGGAGTGCGCGATTTTCTGGCAAATGTTTAAGACGAGTGTGCGCGGCGCTAGGCGAGAGCCACATTTTGACAAGGAACCGCCCTCGACCCGGGAAGCTCTTGCAATGGTTTAAGACGAGTGTGCGCGGCGCTAATGCGAGAGCCACATTTCGAAACTGAGCCGCCCTCAATCCGTGAATCTCGGAGGGGAGGAGGAGGAGCAGGAGGAGCAGGAGGAGGAGGAGGAGGAGGAGGAGGAGGAGGAGGAGGAGGAGGAGGAGGAGGGGGAAGCGAGAGGAGGAGGAGGAGGAGGAGGAGGAGGAGGAGGAGGGATGGATGGGACAGCATCAAAAAGGCCCTGGCGGCCATCAGCAAGCTGACGACCGCCAGGGCCCCAGATGTCAAAAGACTGCCTCGTTGGAAGACAACCGTGTGAAGATCCCGACGCATGCCAAAATGTTGTTCTCGGGATTGCAACGCCATGGATCAACCTGATTGTTGCGTCTTGACGATCCGAAATCGTGCCAGAACGCCATTCCTGGAACTTAAGCGCCGCGAATCAACGTAACTGTTGTACCCTCATAATCCTGAATCCTTCCAAAACACCATTTCTGGTACGTTGACCATGAGGGACAGTGATTTCCCACCCGCCTTCAATCTGTGAAGCTCTTGCATGTTTTAATGAAACATAGCCGCATTCAATCCTTGATTTTGTTTGCACATTCGAAAACGAGTGCACGCGGCGCTAAGGCGAGAGGCACATTTTGAAAACGACCCACCCTCCATCTGTGAAACTGTTGTCAATGTTGGAGCTTCAGTGCCAAAGTGGTGAGGAAACCTCAGGCGAAACTCCGGGCCGGCCCTAAAAACTGGCCTCGGGGTGCGACAGGGAGAAGTTTTTCACAAGGAACAGGAATGGAGGAGGAGGAGGAGGAGGAGGAGGAGGACGAGGAGGACGAGGACGACGAGGACGAGGACGACGAGGACGACGAGGAGGAGGAGGAGGAGGAGGAGGAGGAGGAGGAGGAGGCGGGAAGTGAGAGGGGGCGGGCCTTCTCAGAAGGCTCGGCTACTCGTACAGTCGGACCGAGGTATAAGATCGAGGTCGGTTCGGGGAGGGTGCCCAGACTAGTGTTCTTTGTGTTGGTTGGGCGCTCTTGTCATCTCTTGTGCATCCTCGGGAGGGTACCTTCGGATGCCCTGTAAGCTTTGGCCGACGGAGGGACTCATGCTCTTGGGGGATGTTCCGCTGGCCTGGGTCCGCCTGCACTCGTGAGAGTGACCCTTCGCCGGAGGGACCTCTGGCGCGCGGCTTTCGGGAGGCGCTTCGGGGCCAGGCCTGGGCGCGCAGGCCGCCCCCGTCGGACCGCACGCCACGGATCGGCAGGCTACGCACCAGAGGTCCATGTTTGCCTAGGGCCACTCGCACGTGCAGCCGACGAGGGCTCGCAAGTGCCCCAGTCCCCTGGGAGGTTTGCGACGCCATCCCCGAAGGTACAGAAAGCTTCCCAGAAGGCGCGAGGGCTTCTGACAAGCCCCGCCGGGTTCTGAGAAGGCCGCTCAGCTGCCGGCCACGTCCGACGCTTGCTGGGAGCCCTGTCTTTCTGCATGCGGCTTTCACACGGACCCGCCATGAGGTATTGCACGGGCCCGTTCGCGTCCAGATACGTAGTTGGGGCTTTGGCCAAGGAGTATGCCCAGGAGGTTTCAGACCCTGGGGGCTTCCTTGTCCGATGAGGACGGCGGAGATACCCATGGCCAGGCTTCGATTGGCGTTCCGCTGGCTTCCAGACCCTGGATTCCTGATCCAAGGGTTCCTTGTCCAATGCCCCCACCGTAGCAGCGCTATCTCGAGCGACAAACAAAATGTTCGCTTCCCCCCGTCGTGCGCGCCGCCGAGAGGCGCTCGGCGGCGGCGGCCGCGGCGGAGCCGGGGAAGCTGTGGGGGACCTGCGCTGGGCCCTGGGCTTGCCGCCAGGCTTCGCCCCGGAGACGTGGGACCTCCTGGGCGACGGGCGCGGGGAGAAAGCCCCCCTCCTCCTCTTCCTCCTCCTCCTCCTCCTCCTCCTCCTCCTCCTCCTCCTCTTCCACCTCCTCCTCCTCCTCCTCCTCCTCCTCCTCCTCCTCCTCCTCTTCCACCTCCGTCCGCCCGCCTCCTCCTCCTCCTCCTCTTCCTCCTCCTCCTCCTCCTCCATCCGCCCTCCTCCTCCTCCTCCTCCTCCTTCTCCTCCTCCTCCCCAAGACCCCCTCGCTTCGCGAACCACATTTTTACGTCGCAGCACGGCAAAAGCCATCCGTACGAGCGTCTGGGCGAGACCGGGACACTGAATGGCGAATTACCCGCTTGCAGGATGGGGGGAAAGGCGAGGGATGAAGGAATCGCGAATTACCCGCATGCACGAGGTGGGGGGAGACGAGGGAGGCGGCCGCGGAAGGGGAGGCCAGGCGCGGGGGACACTCACGCAGCAAGGCTGCGGCGAGCGGGCGGGGACGGCTGGGCTGCAGGGCAGCCCCTGGCAGAGATCGCGAAAAAGCACGACGGAGGTTGTTTTAGCTGGGTGGGTATTTTCAGTCTCTCGGGGCCCTCGCCAGGCCCCCAGGACCGTCGAAAAGCGACTCAAGATGAAGGCTGGTCCTGGGGAATGGGTCGAGACCTTTGGGCGTCCACGTGGTGAAACAAGTCTGACGTCGGGGTCCGGGGCGAGGGTCCCATTAGTCCAGGCCTCCCACATAGGGTCCGAGCCGATGGGGTCGGAGGTTCGCGCCGCATCGTCGATTCACCGGCGATGCAGCTCGATGTGGGGCCCGATGTTCTCCACGCCGACGTCGCCGATGGATCGGCGACGAGTCGCGATCGTCCGACCCTATCTACTCGCACCCCATGTAAGGGGCTTCTATAGAAGGAGTCGGGCCTCCCTGACTCCGGATCCAGCCTACTTTGGGCGATGTCGTAAGTAGGGCGAGAATTTCCGCCTTTCTGCTCAGGCTCCTTTGATGCCGTTTTGTTCGCCTTACTTGGTCGTCGCTGTTTCTGACATGCCCTTGCGGAAAGTAGCCGCCCCACTTTTCCGAGGCGGGAATTTCCGCCAAAATTGTTCGCATCGTTTAGGGTGCATGTCCGACGCAGTTGCAAGTCGGAGAATCAACCAAAGTACGGCGAATCCGGTGTCAGGGCTCCCAGGGGAGGAGGAGGAGGAGGAGGAGGAGGAGGAGGAGGAGGAGGAGGAGGGACAGCAAAACTACAGGGAGGCTGGAAGCAGCCGCTTGGGCCCAGCCTTTTGCTCTTTCCAGCCCCAGCCGGTGTCCCTCTAGTGGTTCCAGCCTTGGCGACCTCATCCCAGCTGTTTCGAGCTTGTTCTGGCCCCTGCCAGTTTTTCTGGCCCTGGCCACTCCCGCCTCTTTGGTGAAATTTCCGACTTCCGTTTTTGTCCGGCTTGCTTTGCGTGCATATTTTTTGGCGGGTCCGCGCCGATTTCTTGCTTCGTGCTGAACCCCCTCCCTGGCGGCGCATCCAGCGCCACCACTGCCGCTCCACCGCCGACCCGAGCAAGCTGGCGTGGACCTTCGGAAGTTCGCTTGGAACATCTTGTTATCCTCCGGCGAGAAAAGCCGTGTCCGTGGGGCCGGGGAGAGGAGCTGGGTAACGTCGCGACTTGCGTTTGGGGGGGGAAGGGGCAACAGCCCGGTAACGTCTGGGCTGGGGGCGGCTTGGGATGATGACGACGACGACGACGACGACGACGACGACGGCGACGACGACGGCGACGGTGACGGCGACGGCGACGGCGACCGCCACGGCGACGGCGACGGCGACGGCGACGTCGACGGCGACAGCGACGGCGACGACGGCGACGACGACAACGACCGACGTTGTCCAGAGGCTTCTGAATGCGTCCCAAGGTGCACATGAGTAGTGTGTACACTGGCGCTGCGGTGTGCACAGGCATTGAGGCATTACTGCTGCAGCAGCAGCTGTGTTGTACACAGGCGCTGTAGATTATACAAGCACTGTGGGTAATACAAGTGCTGTGGTGTACACTGCTGCTGTGGTCTACACAGACACTGTGATGTACACAGTCGCTGTAGTGCGCACATGCTGCTGCAACAGCATCTTACTCTGGCACGGTGGTGTACACATTCATCGTGCCGTAAACAATCATTGCTGTTCACACAGGCAGTGTGGTGTACACAGATGCTGTGGTGCACACAGGCGCTATGGTGCATATGTACAATGCTGCTGCTGCAGAATTTGTGGTGTGCACGGGCACTATTCTGTACACCGGCGCTGATGTGCACACAGGCAGTGTCGAGGACACTGGCATTACGGGCCCAAGACACGGGGGGTACCGCATCTTGCGCCAGAAAAACGGATGATCACAACCAATCAGAATATTGAATGTGATACGCTCGGGCTTCTGACGCTTTTTCAGATTGTGGCCCCGTTGGGATCTTGGTTGTGGTGTACAAACGCGCTGTGGTGTACAAGCGCTGTGGTAGACAGCAGCAGTAGTGCACATTGGCAAAATGGTGTAACGGCCCTGTGGTGTGCACAGGCGCTGTGGTGCATGGCTGCAGTGGGGTACGCAGGCGCTGCGGTGTACACAGGCGCTGTGGTGCACACACATGTTGCTGCTGCATCAGCTGTGGTGTACCATTGCTTTGTTGTGTACACAGTCACCGCTGTACACAGGCACTGTGGTGTACACAGGCATGATGGGGGAGACACGCAGCGTTTTGTAACTATGCACTGTGGTGTGCGCAAGGGGTGAGAAATTGCGGTGCACACATGCGGCTGCAGTATAACAGCTGTTGTGTACACAGGCGCCGCGGTGTACACAAACATTGGTGAATACAGGTTCTAAGGTGCACACGGCTGCTGCGGTGTACACAGGCGCTGTGGTGTACACACGCGCTGTGGTGTGCACGTATGACGCTGCAGCAGCATCCATCGGTGGTGTACACAGGCAGTATTTTCACACCGGCACAATGGTGCACGGAACCACTGGGCTGGCATTGTGATGGACAGGCATTGTGGTGTATTCCAGAGGTCCTTCTGCGGGCGGTTTTGTGGCGCGCACAGGCGTTTCGCCCACTGCTCTCGGGTACCCACAGCAATCCCCTACGCTGCCCCTGGCAGATCATTGCCTACATGCGTTCTAACTGTCCTCAATTCTGCCCAGGCATTCACAGACGACGCCGGCGCAAAACGTGACGTTACCAGGTGGGGGGCAGGCCTCGTAACGGCCTTCATCGCGGATCGTTTGTGCTCATGCGTGTTTGCTTCCTCTACCCGGGGCCCTTCCAGGCCTCGGGGCCGTCAAAGAAAAATTTAGGATGCCGAGCTGGCACTGGGGGGCACGTATCCACCCAGAGCCCCTTTCCTCTCGTGCCGAGGCGAGACGCAGGACGTCGCGACCGCCTCTGTGGTGCTCCTGCACATGGCCTGGACTTGCGTGCTAGGGCGCATGGCCAGGAGCAGCCAGTTCGTCAGCGGCGTGGGCTTCGGCGGTCCCGCCCCCGGCTGCGGCGCCCTCGCGGAGGCCTTCCCCTCCACCGTCGTGCCCATGGTGGTCTCCCTGGAGGGCGAGGACGGCTGTCCCTGCACGGGGGCCTCCCTGGCGTGGTCGCAGCTCGCAGCCCTGCGCATGCTGCGCAGGGCCGCCCGGTCCTCGGGCGCGGTCGACTGGGCTGCTCTGCTGGCCCGCCTGGGCCGCAGCGCCTCGGACGCCAGCGCGCACCCGCTCTTCCAGACGGCCTTCGTGATCGGCCCGCCGCTCGCCAGCGAGCAGGAGGTGGCCGCCGCGGCGCGCGCCGTGCGCTGGAGCGCCGCGCCCCTGACGCTGCAGCTGCGGGTGCGGCCGCAGGCTGTGCACGTACCCCCTCTCTTAGGTAATCATCGGCTGCACGTGACTGAGAGTGGCCCTCCGCCAGAGTGACCTTCGGTGCTGGCCCAGAGGGGGTCGGATCACGCGTCTCTGGGGTAGAGCTGGACCTCGCGTCGGCACCCGCAGCGTGGGGTTGCGCTCCCATCTCAGCGCGCCAAGGTTGGGCCCCCCCCTCGCAACCGACCGTAGCGCATAAGCGGCGCATCCTGCAGCGCCCGTTGGTTCCCCGAGGGGGGGCGGGGGGGGCCGTCGACTGGGCGGCGCGTGTCCTGCCCCAGGACTGGTCCCGAATCCCAGCCCAAATCCCAAATCGTCTGGTTTGAATATCGAAGACGCCTACGGCGAATCACCGCCGCCCCCTGCCTTTTTGGAAGCGCCTATGTGGCCGAACGTTGAGGCCAGACCTGCCAAGCTATCGGACCACGTGTTCCCCGAATCGGTTTGGAAAGCCTTCGGGGAACACGTGGGCATCTTGAAGGTCATCTTGGCCGTCTTGGAGGCCTCTTGGGCAAGCTTTGGGCGATCTTTGGGGCTTTTTGGGCCGTCTCGGGCCAGCTTCGAGCCAACTTCGGCCATCTTGGTGGGTTCCTGGCACGTCTGAAGCCGTCGGAAGCCGTTTGGGGGGCCTCTATGGGCCGACTTGGGGCCCGCTTGGAATGCTCCAGGGCCGTCTTGGAGGCCATCTTGGGCGTCTTGGAGGCCATCTTGGGCGTGTTGGAGGCCTCTTGGGCCCTCTTGGGGCCCTCTAGGGGCCATCTTGGAGGCCACTTGGGCCATCATGGGGCTCTCTTGGGGGCCTCTTGGGCGATCTTGGGGGCTTCTTGGGCCGTCTTGAGCCGTCGGAGAGCCGAAAAGGCGCAAATGCCAAAATCCTTCAAAAACCAAAAGAAAATCAATGATTTTGGCCTCTTCGGACTCTCCTGGAGGACCTCTTGGAGGCCTCTTGGGCCGTCTGGGAGGCCTCTGGGGGGCCTCTTGGGCCGTCTTGGGCCGTCTTGGACTCTCTTGGGCCGTTTTGGAGGCCGTCTTGGACCATCTCGGGCGGACTTGGAGGCCATCTTGGGCCATCTTCGCGATTTTTTGAGGATGTCCCGAGCGAAACGGCCGTTTTTGGGCATTGACAGATGGATTTTATGAAACTTACGGGTGGCCGGCGGGACGGGCCGAAGCCCACTGGGGAGTTCTTTTAGAAAAAGAACCAAAACCAAAACCTGAATCGTCCAGCACGCCGTGCACCCCTGCAAGCAGGGGGCGGCGGATCTACTGGCCTTCGGCCCATCCCGCCACCGTGTTTGGTCGGCATCACCCCAAGATACTTACTAATACTATGTGTGCGTCGCCCCCCAGGGGCGACGCGCGCACCGAGACATCTTATAGTATATCCGTCGTGGCCAGCGCTTTCTGGCCACACCGCTCGGGGAACGATATATTACAAGATGGGTATACTGTATGTTCGGGTCGGACTCGCGCCTCCAAGGAGGACAAATAGTACCAGTATGTTACCTAACAGCGAAGACTGATAGGTTTCTAGTTGACTCAAAAGAGCTCACAGATCACTCCACAGGGGGGTCCGGGCAGGTGTTGGGGAGTTGCCGGGCGGCAGGGTGCCGGGCTCGTTTTTCACCAACAGTCACACACTTCGTGCTCTTCGCCTTCCCAGAACTCCATTCCCAGGCCACATTCTGAATACCCGGATGCAACAGTCACACACAAAGTGCTCTTCGAGATCCCAGAACGCCATTCCCGGGCCACATTCTGAATAACCGGATGCAACAGTCACACACTTCGTGCTCATCGACATCCCAGAACGCCATTCCCGGGCCACATTTAGAATAACCGGATGCAACAGTCACACACTTCGTGCTCTTCGAGTTCCCAGAATTCCATTCCCGGGCCACATTTTGGATGCCCGGAGCCAACTGTAGGCCACTTCGTGCTCTTCGAGTTCCCAGAACTCCATTCCCGGGCCACATTTTGAATGCCCGGAGCCAACTGTAGGCCACTTCGTGCTCTTCGAGTTCCCAGAACTCCATTCCCGGGCCACATTTTGAATGCCCGTAGCCAACTGTAGGCAACTTCGTGCTCTTCGACTTCCCAGAACTCTTAATTCCTGGGCCACATTTTCAGCAGGGGCAAGAGCACGACGAGGAGGAGGACGAGCAAGACCAGGAGGACGAGGACGAGCAGGAGCTACCAGGGTACCAGGAGGAGGAGAACCTACCAGGAGGAGGAGGAGGAGGAAGAGGAGGAGGAGGACGAGGCTGCCGTGACTGCCTGCTGCGACTGTCATCGCGAATGCGACTACGACTGCGAGAACAGCAGAATTCGACAACTGGATTTTCATCTGAATCTTAAGGGGAATGCTTTCAGATATGCTTCTACACATCGCTGTTAGGTTGCTTTGCCGGGATAATTTTTGTGCGTCCCATGTGGTCAGTGGGTCAGAGTTGTCAGGGATGCTTCTTCGGGTCTCCTCGGAGCGCTGTCGGGGGCCTCTTGGGAGCAGTCTGGGGGCCTCTTGGGGGCCTCTTGGGGCCCTTTGGGGGACTCTTGGGGGCCTCTTGGGGCCTCCTGTGAGCACTCGGGGCCGAGGGCTCGAAATGCCCGTTCGGGTTCCCCATCTGGGCCAACTCTTGGGGCCGTCTTTGGGCTCTCTCGGGCCGTCTTGGGTGCCTCTTGGGCCGTCTTGGGGCCCTTTGAACCGTCTTGGGGCCCTCTTCGGGGCCTCTGGGGCCGTTTTGGGCCGATCTTAGGGGCCTCATGGGCCGTCATGGAGCGTCGGGAAGCCGAGAAGGCGAGAACGCCAAAATCTCCGAAAAACCGTAAGAACCTCAATCCCTTGGGGCCCCCTTGGAAGGCCTCTTGGAGGCCTCTGGGGGTGTCTTGGAGGCCTCTTGGACCGTCTTGTGCGTCTTGGAGCGATCTTCCAGCGACTCGGAGCACTCTTAGGTCCTCCTGGCGGTCTTTTGGGGCTCTCTTGGCCCGTCTTGGAGCCTTCTTGCGCCCTCCCAAGTCACGCGACAAGCCGCGGGCAACCGCGACAAGCTCAAGAAGGTCTAGCTATTGGGCTCGGGGACCATTAAAGACCCTTCAGGAGAGAGGATTCAGGCGTAGAGGATTGGGCAACGGACCTGAGGGCACGTCCACTCCGTGCCCAGCGGCACGGTGGCGGATATTTGAATATGTTTGCATAGTTTCGGGTGCAGTTGAACATCCTTGAATGTTTGCTTGGACCAGTAGGGTTCTCTACAATTGCAAACTACCCACAGATGTTCAAACGCATTCTGTATACTTTTTCGGCCCGGGTTTTGGCCACGACGACGGGCTTGGCCAGACGTTATCGCGACGCGGCCCGGCAGTGCCAGACCTCATCTTGGTAGTCCCCAGCAGCGTATGCTTTCGCAGCGCCTTCGGGGTGCCGTCTGGGGTGTTCGCCCCGGATTGGCGGGATGTCGCAGTTGCCCGCTGGCGCTGATCATCTTTCGAGGCGCGTCCCGCCGATATTTTATGCGGCGCGACCGCAGCGGCTTGCGCGGTTGCGTTGGGCCCCCACGGGCGCCCCTAAAGCCGCGCACCAAAGGTCACTCTAGCCTAGGGTCACCCAAACAACGTTTGTACTTAGGAGCATTTCTTTTTTGTCGGAGGAACTGGGCCTAGGCGTCGGTCTGGCGGCTCCATGCTCCCCGTCGCCGCCCCGTCGCCGCCTCGTCGCCGCCCGTCATATGGGCCTGGGTGTCGGTCTGGCAGTTCCTTGGTTGCCGTCGCCGCCCCGTCGCCGCCCAGATTCTCCTTTCTCAAAAAGAATTAGGAATCATTCGCACTCCCGAGGCCAGACTTCTCCCCCCCTTCGGGGATGCGCAACTTACATACGCGTGTTCTGCCCCTCCACCTCCCCATCCATGGGGAGGTGGAGGAGGCCCACGGAACCACGGCTCCCGAGGAATCGATGGCAGTTTCTCCTCTCCAGGACCTCCACACGGCTCTTCTCTCGCTGGCGACCCCCCCGCGTTGCGCCCGCTTGGGCCCGACGTGCGGGATCCCTTGTTTTTTGTTTCTTTGTCCACCGCCACACTTCGTGGCGCTACGGGGAGGCAGGGAGGAGGACAGGAGGGAGGCTCGGGGTGCCCCGTTCCTTGTGGCCCCCCTTGCCGACGTCGCGCCCGTGTGGGCCCGACCGAGGTCAGGACGCCGATTCTTTCATTGCTACTGCCACATTTCGCGGCGCCCCCCGCACCCCCCCCGGGGGAGAGGAAGGGGGCCCGGACCATGGCAGCGGTGGCGGTGACAGAAACCAGCGGGCCTCCCCTGAGCCTCGCCAGGGCCCCGATGGAACTGCCATTTCTCCCAGACCTGGTCGCAATGGCGGTGTCAGAGACCTGCGGGCCGAACTTGGTTGCGACGGCGGAATCAGAAACCAGCGTGCCCCCTCTGAGCCTCGCCAGGGCTCAGAGGGGACCCCATTTTTCCCGTTCTTGCCGCGTTCCGTGGCACCCCTGAACCTGGCAGCAATGGCGGTGTCAGAGACCAGCGGGCCGAACCTGGTAGCTTCACACGTAGTGGATCTCCTGGCCCCTGGGATCGAGCGCGGACCACGGACGGCCAGGTCGACAGAAACCAGGGTGCTCAAGGTGACGCCGTACCTGACAGCCCTCCGGTCTCGGGGTGGCCCCCCCAGTCCGCCCTGGGAGCCAGAGGGTCCGTTCCCCCCTCTTGTCGCGACGGTCGCACCTGGTGCCGCTGCTCGTCCTGGAGAACCCTCGTTGCCGCGGCCGGGTAGTGGAACCCAGCAGCGCAGCCGTGAGCAGCAGGACGGGAGACAGCAGCACCATCGTGAACAGGACGACGGATCCCCGCAGCGCGGCCGCGAGCGGCAGGAAATACCCCAGCAGCAACATCGTGAGCAGCACAACGGACCCCAGCAGCTCGACCGCGCGCAGTACGACGGGCTCCAGCAGCTCGACCGCGAGCCGCCAGACGAC